TATGCAGAAAGCATTCCCCTTCGGAAAAAAAAAAAAAAGAGGCTCCTGTTACTACATACGCGAACACTAAGAAAGCATTTTAGAAAATCCATCTCCAAGGTTCCCCAATTACGGAATAACTTATGTGATATTTTTTTCTTCAGAAGAATTACTTGAAAGTTGACATTAGTACTTTTCAACGCCCAATAATTAACTATCTAATGTAGGCAAAGGTTACAATAAAGGCGAATATAAGGTTATCATCATTAACAGCTTTAGTTCATCCACTGCTGAACGTAGGCCTCTCCCATCGATTGCCACGATGCCCGGTCCTGTGCCGCCCGCATCCAGTGCACTCCCGCAACCTTGACCAGGTCATCGGTCCATCTTACGGGAGGCCTACCTACGCTGCGACAACCTATCCATGGCCCCCACTCCAGGACTTTTACATATAGTTATCACAGTTATAAAAGTATCAATATGGACCCAAAACTATTGGACAAATACTTCTATACCTAAGTTTACTAAACTTAACATTTTGCATAGAATATTCCGTCACGGTCTAAAGTTAGGACAGAAAAATTGTTCTAAACTTAACGCGGACGTAGCCGGTGGAAACATCTTATCGTACGATAAAAATAGCGCCTGTGAAGTAATTTTGAATGATTCGGCACAAATTATTCTTTATAATAAGACACCTCCGCTCTGAGCATTCAGTTGCTTACAAATAACATTTTAGAAGAGAATTCAATATGGTTCAGGTAAGAATTAGTGACGGCGTATTAGAAGGAGAGGTGATCAACAATGAATATGGAGGAAAAATATTTAGCTTCAAAGGCATTCCGTATGCGCAACCTCCGCTGGGAGACCTCAGGTTCAAGGTAAATATGATGTAACCACATTTTAAATACTGTTTTTATTTTAACTTTTTTTGTTGTAAAATTGAACGTACTAGTAACTCTTCGGGGTCCAAAGTTTATATGAAGAGATGTTATTCCATTGGCAAAATTACATGAAAATTGAGAAAAATAACGTTGTGAAAACAAGTATCACTACGTTGGTCAAGCTTTATTTAAATTCTGAACTCTAAATTTCTAGAAATTAGTATCCACAAGTATTTTTGATAGCGTAGATATGAAGTGCGGCGACAATAAATTTTGCATCGGGATTTTTATTTGCTCACCATGTTTTTACTGAATTGATCGAGAGGTGAAATTTTGTTTAAGATATGTCATTCCTTTAAAAGTTTGAAAATTCAATTAGTTATGTTATTACAAGGTGGTTTAGGCATTGATTAAGAAAAGTTAGTTTTAAACTTTTAATTTTCACGCGGATGGTTTCGTTACAATTTGAAATGTATTATAAAAGTTTTATTATTTGCTTTACTACAGGCTCCTTTGCCACCAAAACCTTGGAATGGAGTGCGGGATGCAAAGAAGTTAGGAAGTCCGTGTCACCATTTCGATATTTTCCAACAAAAGTTCAGTCCCGGAAGCGAAGACTGTCTGTACATTAATGTGTACTCACCGAACATAACACCCACCAAGCCGTTGCCGGTCATGCTTTGGGTTCACGGAGGAGGTTTCACTAGCGGAAGCGGTTCCGATCAAATGTATGGACCCGAATATTTAGTAAGACATGACGTTATTCTTGTCACGTTTAACTATAGAGTCGAAATCCTTGGATTCCTTTGCCTGGACACAGAAGACGTACCCGGAAACGCGGGCATGAAAGATCAAGTTGCTGCTTTCAGATGGGTTCAAAAAAATATCCGAAACTTTGGGGGAGATCCTAACAACGTTACAATTTTCGGAGAAAGTGCCGGAGGGGCAAGTGTTTCCCTTCACCTTTTATCACCCATGAGTAAAGGATTGTTTAAGAGAGCCATACCACAAAGTGGACACGCTATTACTTATTGGGCAACAAGTTTTATGATTAAAGAAAGATCGTTACAAGTAGCTAGGGAACTGGGATGTAATTCAAAAGACGACAATGAAGTGTACAAATTTTTAAAGGCGCAACCTGTTGAAGCACTTGTTAAAAAATACATTTCAGTGACGTATGTGGAATCAAATAAAGAAGCTCTTATGGTGCCCTTTACTATTACTTCAGAAAAACAATTTGGAAATAATGAAAGGTTCATGATCATTGAGCCCATCGAAGTATTGCGTAATTATGGTATACATGAAGGTGTGGATGTTATGGAAGGCTACACAGGTGATGACGGAGTTTTGTTACTAGGATCCGGTCAAAACATCCACAAAATGTTCGTCGAGGCTAATAAGTATCCCGAGTTTTTCGTACCGAAACCCCTTACTATACATTGTCCACTAATCGATCAAATGGAAATAGGTAAAATGATAAAAAGTTACTATTTTAAAGATGAGGACGTTTCTATGGACAACTGGTTCTCTTTGCAACAGTATCTTGGTACAGAATACTTTAAGTATCCCACGATTTTATTCCAAAAAATGTGTGCCAAAAGGGGTAAAAATAAAGTTTTCCTTTATACATTTACCTGCAAGTCTGAATTGAATGTTTTTAAACATGTACTACGAGTTGCAGACATCGTGGGAGATAGGGATGTAGCCTGTCATGCTGATGATCTCCCTTATATTTTCCCTATGAAAATGTTCACCAAAAACAATCCAAATATCGATATATCTCGAGTGATCGAGTTGATAGATCGAGTAACAACACTCTGGACCAATTTTGCTAAATACGGGTAAGATATGTGTGATTACAATTTTGAAACGTTTTCGTTTATCGTAACTATTAGTGTGATAGTTAATTACATTGTTTCGTTTACAGTAACCCAACACCCGATGGTAGTCTCGGCGTTATTTGGAAACCGTACTCTTTGGAAGGACAAGACTTTTTGGACATCGGTAATAATTTAGTGGCCGGTAACGCACCAGACAAGGAGGAACTGGAATTCTGGGAACGTATTTTCAAGAAGTATTGTCCGAAGTTTGCTCCATGAAATAACTTGTATGGATTTTGTAATAAACGACTTTAAAAAGATTCAAAGAACTCTTTTGTTCATTTTCCCTTTTCACAAATTTCATAACTTGTCAATATCAAATCCTAATTTTCACAGTGATAGTATAGTGTCTAGTATTACTCTGGTGAAATTAATAATTGGCACAGAGATGCCGGAATTTTCAGAATACCATTAAATATGAATTCTAGAAAATCCTCATCGGTCCTGCATTTGGAAATCTGAACCTTAGGTCACAAAAATAGTATTTCTTCGTATCACAAAGTGATTTTGTAAATTCTCGATTGTTTTTGTAGAAGGAACAGCATTATTTCATAAGAACGTTGACCCCGCACTTTAAACATTTAGGCGATGAGTTAAGCAAATCCTTTCGTAGTGCTTGGTTATGTAGTTATAAAAAAAACCTACGCAAAATTTGGTGCTGCTTCCAGTGGTTTCTACTAACGTTGATTTATAAGTTATATTACAGGAAGAAGAACGTGCATTACAAACATTTGCAATATTAGCTGTTGTCCGCGACTTCTACCAAGCGGTATTAAGAGAAATATGCGAGTTATGAAAAAAAAAATATACACAACCCTCGGGAACCTAAAATTTTTGGGGGATTCTAAGGGATTCCGAGAACAAAAGTAGACATGAGTTCTTCCACAGTATCCTCTACATATGTGGGCTCCCCCCTAGCCGGGTCGTGGATAAACTAACGTAGATGCCACGGCCCGGTTGGGCGAAGGAGAACACCGCGGGGTTTAGTGGGTAGTCCGGCCGGGATTAAGGCCGGGAGTCCCACACGAAACTGTCCCTGCTGCCTCCGCAGCATGGACGGTGAAGTGCGTAAATGCATTCCCCGCGACAACAAAAAAAAAATCCTCTACATATGTGCCAAATTTCATCGATATACCTTGAGTAGTTTAGACTCCAACACCACTATCGTCGCTGCAGGTATGCGTGATTCCCACATATTATGTACGTTTCAAGACTTTAGGAAGAGTATGATGCGAATGGAAGATGAGAACATTTGTAAGAATGAACGGGGAAATATACATACTGTTATGTAATTCTGTAAATTCTGTAATTTTCATATCCTTATCCAAATAAATGCGTTTATTATCAAGATAATTTAATATAAAATAAAATTGTCCTTTAGAGTATTTAAATTGGACCAATAGTTTAAAAGATAAAAACAAATAATAAGGGTAATCGAAAAATCAGCTTACAAGCTACCGGGCCTGGAAATTTGGAATCTTGCATCGGTAGATTTCTGTTATTTCGTAGATTACTACTAAGTTAATACTTTTGGTAATAGGTTAAAAAAGGGCGAACGTAAGTTTTGAACTTCTAAATTTCACGCGGACGAAGTCGCGGGCAAAAGTTAGTTATTTATAAAGGGACATGATGTGAGACATGGCTACAAGTAGCAACATATTTATTGTAATTATATTGATTATCCTACATGTTTTTCCAGACTATCCTATGCGCCTATACCAAATTTCATCGAGATCCGTTCAACCCTTTAGGCTACAAACCCTAACAAACATCCATTCGTCCATCTAAACTTTCGCATTTATAATATTAGTAAGAAGTAATATTAATTCGTCATTTCTTTAATCAAACGCAAAAAGGTCAACATTTAATTAAAATCTATTAATGATAACTATCGATTATTTATTATCGATTTTATTTTTGTTCTACTTAATTTTAGATCTAAGCAAAGCAAAGGTAATAAAACAAATAAAAGATGGCTTTTCAGTGCAAAACACAATCAATTTGAAGCATGGGAGTAATTTAAATCTAAAATGAAATTTTTTTTGGACCATACTTCTGTGTCAAATTTTTTATTAAATAAAAAACCAACGTTTATTGTTACATCGAATTCTTTGCAAACATTTTGATCATGCTATTATATTTCAGAAGGCATACTTTGGACAGTATTGCTTGAAAATATGTTCCCAGAATTCCAGTTCATCCTTGTCTGGTGCAGTACCGGCCACTAAATTATTACCGATGTCCAAAAAGTCCTGTCCTTCTAAAGAGTATGGTTTCCAAATAACGCCGAGACTACCATCGGGTGTTGGGTTACTGTGAAATAAACAACGTAATTTACTATTTGAACAATAATTTTGACAAATTAATACAATTCAAAATTGTAATTACATGTATCTTACCCGTATTTAGCAAAGTTTGTCCAAAGTTTTGTGACTTGATCTATTAATTTGAAGAGTTGTGACATATCGATATTTGGATTATTTGCGGTGAACATTTTCATAGGGAACATATAAGGCAGTTCATCGGCGTGACAGGCTACTGTCCTTTCTCCCACGATATCTGCGACACCCAGTAAATGTTTGAAAATATTCAATTCAGACTTACAGGTAAATGTATAAAGGAAAACCTTATTTTTGCCTCTTTTTGCACAAAGTTTTTGAAATAAAATAGTATAGTATTTAAAGAATTCTGCTCCAAGACACTTTTGCAGGGTGTGTACGTTTTCCATAGCAACTTCTTCATCTTTAAAATAGTACCTTTTTATCATTTTGCCTATTTCCATTTGATCGATTAGTGGACAATGTATAGCAATGGGTTTCGGTACGAAAAATTCAGGATACTTATTAGCCTGGTTGAACATTTTATGGACGCTATAACCGCACCCTAGGAATAAAACTCCCTCATCTTCCGTATATCCTTCCATAACATCCACACCTTCATGGATACCAGTATTACGTAATACTTCGATAGCTTCACTAACCATGAACCGTTCATTATTTCCAAATTGTTTTTCTACAACAATATTAAAAGGCACAAGAAAAGCTTCTTTATTTGCTTCCACATAAGTGATTGTAATGTATTTTTTAATAAGTGATTCTACAGGCTGTGTCTTTAAAAACTTGTACACTTCCTTTTCATCTTTTGAATTACATCCCATTTCCCTAGCTAATTGTAGCGATCTTTCTTTAATCATAAAACTTGTTGCCCAAGGAGCTGTTGCAAGCCCACTTTGTGGTATGGCTCTCTTAAACAATCCTTTGCTCATGGGTGATAAAAGGTGGAAGGTAACACTCGCACCTCCGGCACTTTCTCCGAAAATTGTAACGTTGTTAGGATCTCCTCCAAAGTTTCTGATATTCTTTTGAACCCATCTAAGTGCAGCAACCTGATCTTTCATGCCCGCATTGCCGGGTACGTCTTCCGTGTCCAGGCAAAGAAAGCCGAGGACTTCGAGTCTATAGTTAATTGTGACAAGAATAACATCATTTCTTACTAAGTAATCTGGTCCGTACATCTCATCGGAACCGCTTCCGCTTGTAAAACCTCCTCCGTGAATCCAAAACATGACCGGTAGCGGCTTGGCGGGTGTTATATTTGGAGAGAACACATTAAGGTACAAACAGTCTTCGCTTCCGGGGATGATTTTTTGTTGGAAAATGTCGTATTGGTGACAATTGCTACCCAACTTCTTAGCATTTCGCACCCCCTTCCATGGTTTTGGTGGCAAAGGGGCCTGTAAATAAAGAGAAAAATAATAAAACACGCTAATAATATGATTTTATATAATTTTACGAATGGGTAGGCTCGCCCAGCGTAATACCGCGACTAAACAGAAGACAGGCGTGAAGTGACTTTTATACATCTCTTTTTGAAAAAAGTGAATATGTTACGTTGTTAAAATTCGACGAAATGTCAAATATGAACTATTAAAAATTTTGTTCCGATAAAAAGTTTGCAGTGAAAAAATCTTCAATTTACATCAAATTTACCTTGAACCTGAGGTCTCCCAGCGGTGGTTGTGCATACGGAATCCCTCTGAAGCTGAATATTTTTCCTCCATATTCATTATCAGTCACCTCTCCTTCTAATACACCATCGCTAATTCGTACCTGAACCATATTAAAACTGTTCTAAAATAAAATTTGTAAGCAACTGAATTCTCAGAGCGGACACGTCGCATTATAAAGAATAATTTATGCTGAATCACTGACAGACTTTTCGTGTCTTTAGCTATTTTATCATAACCGATAGCTTTTACCCCCAACTTCGTCCGCGCGTTGTTTATAACTAACTTTTCTGCCTAATTTCATGCCTTTAAAGGTTAATTTGAGGAAAGTAACTCATCATCTTTAGGTATGATTTTTCTCAAATTCCTAATTTTTGTATTCGGAATTTTTTGTAACATACAGACTGCAGCATACTTCGAAGGCAGTTTAGTTACAAAATTACTTGGAACCCGTTGAAATTACTAGCCTAGAGAGAACAAGGCTTAAAATGTAATCCATGTTTGAATAGTTGCTTCTTTAAGTTCACGAAAGCCCCTGTTCATTTGCTAAAGTAAATAAATCGCACTTTGGACCATAATAAAAATTGTTATCGAAATGTTACCTATATTATAAAGAGGAGAGATTTGTATTTTTGTATGTATTGAAACATTTCAAAACTACTGAGCCGTTTTTAAAAAATCATTGACCAATAAAAACCTACGTTATCACTGAGTAACAAAGTACTCGTATATATATATTTTTATTACTATTAATTTTTAATTTCTTGTAGACATAGTTGCAAGCAACAGCTAGTCAGATTTAAGTCTAAATCAGTTCGTGATTATTAAAAAAATAAGAATTTTCATCATAATACCTACACGATATCATATACCTATAGATAAAAAACTCTGATTACCATGTTTTTGCTTCAGTATTCGATAAGCACTTAAAGTTGCCGTCTCAGAGGTTAAGCAGTTTGTAATCAACAAGTTAAATTTCTATCCCCTATGTTTATCGATTATTAAATATCGTTTGTGATCTTATTCGATATTCTTACGACAATGTGAAGTCCTTCAATCCGGATTAGCTCAAAGTGGTTGACAAAGGCCTAATCATTTTTAAGTCATTGAGCTTTGAGCCTATTGGTAGGAACGCTTATATTCACTGACAACCAATTCGGTCACTCTGTGGCTACTAACAATTCGAATTAAATTTAATCGTCCTCTGACGATAAAGATGAACTTTAATAAACTATGGAGAACGGGTAGTTGTGCACCCACTCTGGTTCTTCTGGCTTATTCTCCAATAAATGCTTGGGTAATGTACAGTTACTCTCGCCCAACGTAACCGACCAATTTTGATAACCTTTGACATTTGACGCATTATAGATTTAATACAACTCATCATTGTGTTAAGACACCATCAATAAAAAGATCCTCCATCCTTAGTATATTAGGTTAAATTACCAACAAGCATTACTTATTTTTTCTCAGTATTTCAGAATCAGACCAAACACTTGAGACACTTGTTCTCGTACCAATCTTCTAAAACATGTATTGAATATACTATCCAGTAAAGAGCTTATAAGCACTTGACTTGTAATCTACAGGTCTTGGGTTCGAAATTTCATTTGTACATAATTTACTCGACGTTCTTTTAGTAAAGGAAAACATTGTAATAACGCAACTTGCACATATCGATAAATAAATTCAAAGATATGTGTGAAATCCACCAACCATCAGTGGGCCAGGGCCGTTAACTATGGCCTATTCAAGGCCCTACTTAGGGTAGGTTCCGAGCTCCTTAATAGGGAAGTATAGGAGCTGGTGAATGGCAACCACACCACCATAACCATACGCGAAATTCATTGACTATATTGTAGTTGCACATTTACCGATGCGAGAACATTCCATATGGGATGTCAAACAGAAATGGAAAAATAAATAAAACCTAATTAAATAAAACATGTAACTTTCCGAAGGTATTTATTTAATCATTTCACGGAGCAAATTTGGGACAATACTTCTTGAAAATGCGTTCCCAGAATTCCAGTTCATCCTTGTCCGGTGCAGTACCAGCTACTAAATTATTACCGATGTCTAAAAAGTCTTGTCTTTCCAAAGAGTATGGTTTCCAAATATCTCCGAAACTTTCATCATGTGTTGGGTTACTATAAACAAAACTATATTAGTGATTATTAGATTAATAATTAAAAAATACTTCATACTAGATTTCGCCCGCGACTCCGTCCGTGAGGAATAAAATAAAACAGAAGTGAGTAGCCTATGTCTTCTTCTAGACTATCCTCTACATTTTTACCAAATTTCATTGAAATCCGTTCAGCCGTTTAGGCTACAAACTCTAACAGACATCCATCCATCTAAACTTTCGCATTTAAAATATAGCATGAAGTTAAATTCCAAATATCTTACCCTTATTTAGCAAAATTCGTCCAAAGCTTTGTTACTTGATCTATTAAATGGAATACTCGTGAGATGTTGATATTTGGATTATTTGCAGTAAATAGTTTCCTAGGAAAGATATAAGTTAGTTCATCAGCATGGCAAACCTCGTTCCTATCTCCCACAATATCTGCAACTCCTAGTAAATCTTTGAAAATATTCAATTCAGACTTGCAGGTAAATGTATAAAGGAAAACGTTATTTTTGCCACTTTTAGCGCAAACTTTTTGAAACAAAATCGTTGGATATTTAAAGCATTCTGTACCAAGATACTGTTGCAGAGTGAACACGTTGTCCATAGAAACGTTCTCATCATTAAAATAGTAACTCTTTATCATTTTACCTACTTCTACTTAATCGATTAACGGACAATGTATAGCGATTGGTCTCGGTACGAAAAATTCAGGATATTTATTGGCCTCTGCAAACATTTTATGGACACTTTGACCAGATCCTAGGAATAAAACTCCCTCATGTTCAGTGTAGCCTTCCATAACATCTACACCTTCATGTATACCGTAATCACGTAATACTTCGATAGGTTCAGCTACCATGAACCTTTCATTATTTCCAAATTGTTTTTCTACAGTTATATTAAAGGGCACAAAAAGAGCTTCTTTATTTGTTTCCGCATCCGTGATTGTAATGTGTTTCTGAATAAGTACTTCAACAGGTTGTGCCTTTAAAAACTTGTACACTTCATTTTCATCTTTTGAAGTAAATCCCAATTCCCTAACTAATTGTAACGATCTTTCTTTGATCATAAACCCCGTTGCCCAATGAGCAATAGCATGTCCACTTTGTGGTATTGCTCTCTTAAATAATCCTTTACTCATGGGTGATAAAAGGTGAAAAGAAACACTTGCTCCGCCGGCACTTTCTCCGAAAATAGTAACGTTATTCGGATCTCCCCCAAAGTTACTGATATTTCTTTGAACCCATCTCAAGGCAGCAACCTGGTCTTTCATGCCCGCATTGCCAGGTACGTCTTCTGTGTCTAAGCAAAGAAAACCAAGGATCTCAAGTCTATAGTTAAATGTGACAAGAATAACGTCCTGTCTTAATAAATACTCTGGATCGTACATCTCATCTGAACCGCTGCCGCTTGTAAAACCTCCTCCGTGGATTCAAACCATAACTGGGAGCGGCTTGTCGGGTGTTATATTCGGTGAAAACACATTGATGTACAGGCAGTCTTCGCTTCCGGGGCAAAATTTTTGTAAGAAAATATCGTAATGATGACATCGTAATGGTGCCTGTAACAAAAAGGGCAAAAAATACTATGATATATACTTACGTTTAAGAAATCACTAGATACATTAAACATAAATAATAAAAATGCTAAAACATTATGCAATTTTAAGAATTTGTTTCCCGTTTTGCAATTAAATTACAACCAATTCATCTAGAAACCCTCAAAATCTTCCATGAACAACCCACAAATAGTACTTAGATAGTAAACAAATTTTATTAACTATGATCTTAACAATGGACCCTATTTCATTTAACGTTGCATTTAACTATAAAGAGTGAGTGAGTGGGAAAAAAATATCTATTATATGTATCTGATTTACCTTGAATCTGAGGTCTCCAAGCGGAGGTTGTGCATACGGAATGCCTTTGAAGCTAATTATTTTTCCCCCATATTCATTGTTTGTAACCTCTCCTTCTAATATACCGTCGCTAATTTTTACCTGAACCATTTTAAAACCTCTACTGAGATAAAATTAGTAAGCAACTAAACGTGTAGATCGAAAAAATCTCATTATAAAGAATAATTTGTGCCTTATCACTCCTAGTAACACACCTATTTTAGCATTTACCATTATAGCATACTAATATACCATTATATATAATAATACCATTATAGCATTTACCATATATTATTATATAGCATTTACCACAGCTATTTTATCATAAACGAGCTGTTATTGCTGACATTGGAAAATCTTTATTTAATTGTTTTTGTTTCGTAAAACTTTTAATTGCAAATATCTAAATATAAATGCTTCAATGACAACCAAGGCCCCTAACATTGGCGACGAATTTCGAAAAATACTACCTACTCGTAATTGCTCGACATCTGTGCAAAATTACTGATTTCTAGGTTCAATAGATTAGACCGTGCCTTGATATTATAATCCATACTAATATTAAAAAAGTTATAAATTACTAAACTATTAAGTAAAGTCTTAAAAAATAAATCAAAATTAAGTTGAGTTATCCTAAATGACACCAAATTTCATGCAATCCAATTTTTAGTACACCTTTAATGTTTTGTCCATAACTTAATTATTTTCTAACAATAATTTAGGCATCGCTCTTTGTTTGGTCCACGTCAACAATTATTATCAGATAAAAATCCAAATTAATTTGTGATAATTAGAAATACGTATTATCATCATTATTACCTAAAACGTAACCATTTACCAATGACGATATAAAATTACGATGTTATTTGGCGTCAGAATTTGATAAGAACGTCGCGTCAGGTGTTAAGCGATCTGCAGCTCTAAGTAGGATCCCAGTAATGTATAAATTTTAAAACCTGATGATTGTTTAATAAGATATGATTACAATAGTTATTACATCGAAAGAGGTAAAAGATTACAATTTGCTAAACTAAACGTCATGTGATCAACGGACATCTGATTTGAAAACTGGTTTACTACAGTGACGAATTTTCTAAATTAAATGCTATATTAATATACAAACGGAAAATAAATAAAAGATCTAACAAGTTCAAAAGGTTTCAATTCAAAAGCCATTATTTGTTATTTATGGAGCAAATTTAGGGCAGTATTGCTTGAAAATGCGTTCCCAGAATTCCAGTTCATCCTTGTCTGGTGCAGTACCGGCCACTAAATTATTACCGATGTCCAAAAAGTCCTGCCCTTCTAAAGTGTATGGTTTCCAAATGACACCAAGACTTTCATCGGGCGTTGGGTTACTGTAAAGAAAAAAAAGTATTTTGACTATTTGGTTAAAAGTCGAGAAAAATTTAAATTTTACAAACATTTCATACCCGTATTTAGCAAAGTTTGTCCAAAGTTTTGTTACTTGGCCTATGAATTTGAACTCTTGTGAACTGACTTCAATTTTTGTGTGATTTTCAGTGAATGTTTTCATAGAGAACATATAAGGAAGATCATCACCATGACATACTACTTCCCTATCTCCCATGATGTTTGCCACTCCCATTAAATGTTTTGAAATATTCAATTTAGACTTGCAGGTAAACGTATATAGGAAAACCTTGTTTCTGCCTCTTTTAGCACAAATTTTTTGAAACAAAATCGTGGGATATTTGAAGCATTCTATGCCGAGATACTTTTGCAAAGTGTACACGTTGTCCATAGAAATGACCTCATCATTAAAATAGTAATGTTTCATCATTTTACCTACTTTCAGTTGATCAATTAATGGACAATGTATAGCGATTATCGGCGGTACGAAAAATTCTAGATATTTGTTGGCTTGTAAGAGCATTTTAGGGATACTTTGACTAGCCCCTAAAAATAAAATTCCCTCATCTTCATTGTAGCCTTCCATGACGTCTACTTCCTCATGTATACCATAATCCCGTAATACTTCGATAGGCTCGTCGATCATAAATCGTTCGTTATTTCCAAATTGTTTTTCTGCAGTGACATTAAAAGGTACCAAAAAAGCTTCCTTATTTGTTTCAGAATATGTCACTGTAATATGTTTTAAAACAAAAACTTCAAAAGGTTGTGCCTTTAAAAATTCGTAAACTTCCTTTTCGTCTTTTGAATTGCATCCTAATTCCCTAGCTAATTGCAATGATCTTTCCTTGATCATGAAACTTGTTGCCCAATGAGCGATAGCGAGTCCACTTTGTGGTATGGCCCTCTTAAATAATCCTTTACTCATAGGTGATAAAAGGTGGTACAAAACACTAGCGCCTCCTGCACTTTCTCCGAAAATTGTAACGTTATTAGGATCACCACCAAAATTAATGATATTTTTTTGAACCCATCTTAATGCAGCAACTTGGTCTTTCATGCCCGCATTGCCGGGTACGTCTTCTGTGTCCAGGCAAAGGAAGCCGAGGATCCCGAGTCTATAGTTAAATGTTACAAGTATAACATCATGTCTTATTAAAAAATGTGGTCCGTACATCTCATCGGTACCGCTTCCAATGCTGAAACCTCCACCATGAATCCAAACCATGACTGGCAGCGGCTTGGAGGGTGTTATGTTCGGTGAGAACACATTGATGTACAGGCAGTCTTCATTTCCTACTATAAGCTTTTTAATGAAAATATCGTATTGATAAGATTCATTTCCCAACTTCTTAGCATCTCTAACTCCTTTCCATGGTTTTGGCGGCAAAGGAGCCTGTAAATAAAGAGTAGTAGTAGAGTAAATAATAAGTAAATATACAAATTGAAATGCAATATATATATATATACAAATACAAATATTTTATTGGTTATAGTAAATTACTGGCCACAATTTGAATATTTTACAGATACTGAACGATAACTATGTATCACGCAAATCATTTTAGCAGAAAAAAAAATCCTCGACACTATAGAGGGCTATCTGGATAAGCCAGCACTATAGTTTGCTTTAAAATGACGCGAGGCTGGTAGCCGCAGTAACTTTGCCCGGCGGGCGGTTGTATACAGCGGGCCGTCGGGTTCCTATGAGTATGTCGACATTTTTTTTTATTCTTCGTTTTCTTTATTTCCTGCTGCTGTATTTCTTGCAGCATCCTTATTGTCTTTGTAGTTAAATTTCATTTTTTTCTAGTTTTTTTTACCTTGTTCTTGTTTTTGATTATTTTTTATTTCATTTTTTTATGTATGTATGTCGATATTTCTGTAATGATAATTATTCGTTAATTTTTTGTATTGCCATTTCTGGTTGTGTTTTAATTTATTTTTTTGGTAGATTACTTGGTTTATAAATATCGATTAACAAATCAAGTAATCAGATATAATTAAAAGCAAAAAAATATATTTAAATGTAATTAACGTCATCATATCTGTTAATAATCTTTTTTTTATTATCAATCACGAACCCTGTCGCTGTTCGAAAGATAAAAATGTCTGTAATTACACTAAAAGGCACACCTTTTTTGCTTACGTAGGTATTTATTTATGTATGTATATGCATGTAGCTTTTAGTAATATAAAATACATTGTGTTATTTATTGCTATTCGAATCAATTCTACATGCGGCCTATAGATGTCTATAATCATATAAAATGTTGTAGATTCCTTCTCAATGTCATCATCTCCCCTGCCTTATCCTACTCCCGTAGGGTCGGCGCACCGGGTTTTCGTCCTCCAAAGCACTCTATCATCCGTCATCTCAGTCATCACTCCCTTCTTGATCATGTCACCTTTCACGCAATCCATCCATCTCTTTCTAGGTCTACCTCTACCGATGTACCCCTCCACATTCATAACTAACGTCCGTCTTTTAAGTTGCGATTCATCCCTTCTCATAACATGCCCATACCACTCTAACCTTTTACTCCTTATTCTCTCAACCACTGGAGCTACTCTCAAACTTCCTCTAAGGTACACAGATTCCTTCTTATAGTGTTTTCTTAAAAAAGTATGTATGATAGTCTGGAAGAACACAGGAGCTACTTACTTTTGATTTCCTTTAATTCCACGCGAACGGAGTCGCGGGCGAAAGCTAGTTCTCCATAAACAATTTTTTTATCTTGACAGTTTTCTTTTCAATACGCTTTACTTTTTCTTCCTTTTTATTCCCTTAAAATGTCTATTCAGCCAGTAATATATATTGTATATTTTCAAAAAGATATTGGATTGCAGGCTCCATTAACAATAAAACTTACCTTGAACCTCAGATCTCCTAGAGGTGGCTGGGCATACGGAATGCCTTTGAAACTGTATATGTTTCCCCCATATTCGTTATTAACTACCTCCCCTTCTATTACGCCTTCACTAACACGTACTTGAACCATTTTGAATACTCTTTAAATCAATATTGGTAAGCAACTAAACTGGTCAAACGAAGACGACTTATTATAAAGAATATTTTTTGCTGAATCAGTAGTCATTTGTCTGTGTCTGTGAATATCATATATCTATCGATACAATGACAGTTCACTTAATTTTTATCTATTTGGATGATATTAATTTCAACATAGTTGACGTATGAAGTGTATTGATCGCGAAAACTCTATCGCACTCATCAGACAAAACGCTGGTTCGATTCCACTTCACGCCTGTCTTCTGTGTGGTCGTGGTATTGGTTTGGGCCCATTCGTGTGAAGATGTCAAAGCGGGCTAAACCACTGTTAAATGTACGATCTTGTTATTGTTAGGAATAAAATTAGTACCGTGCTATAAAATTGGCGCAACTCTAGGTTATCGGCATAAACGTCACGTCCCTAGCTGACAGCTGTCAATGTTACTAGAAGTATGGATAGATTGGCGCGCATCCTAAGTCTTGACGAGAAGTATTGCTCTGAGTTAAAAACGACAGTATCAATTAAATAAGTTCTCTAATATTATAATAGTTACATGTAAAACAGAGTCATAGATTTATCCCTTGTCATTATTAAAAAAAAAAACGTACGTTCTCAAATCTATCTACCTATACTATTATAATGAAGCGTAAACACATGCTACTTTGTGGCGTAGAATATCAGCAATCACAGCATATTTTTAAATAATCATTGTTTACAAAGGCCTTACACTTATGACATGCTTTAGGCAATATTATTTCACGCTATTAAACTTAGGGAATAAATAATTTGGAAAAAACCGTGACTAAAACAACAAGCTGACAACATCAACGAGACAAGGTTACCATAGCAACGGTAATTGTTAACCAATTTCTATGACCTTCGTTGTCATTTGTGCATTTGTATTTTCACATTAGCCATTGAAAATCATACAAATATCAAATATTTTTTTTATATAATTTCATGCAGATGAAGCCGCACGGGAACAGCTCGTTTATAATAAAGCACGATAGGAATATACGACTAAAATATTAGGAGATAAGCGGATGTGAAAAGCAGAGTTGAAATTAAACATATTTCAATTTATTTAAACAAATTGTTCCTATACTTAAATATAATATTCTAAAATTCAACTCTTGTTACTAGTTTGAGTTAGTTTTGCATTACAAGATGTCATTATGTACAACAACGATTATTTGAAATAATAATGAGTTTCTTTTGGCTACTTAAAAAATAATTAGAATAATGTTAACGTTAAATTTAAACGTAAAAGATTTTTTTTTAAATTTGCGAATCTTAAAAGATGTTTCTGTACTTTATGGAGCATATTTAGGACAATACTTCTTGAAAACACATTCCCAGAATTCGAGTTCATCCTTGTCTGGTGCAGTACGGGCCGCTAAATTATTACCGATGTCCAAGAAGTCTTGTCCTTCTAAAGTGTATGGTTTCCAAATGACGCCAAGACTTTTATCGGGTGTTGGGTTACTGTAAACAAAGTAAAGTAATTTAATTTAAACATAATTATTTTGACAAATTAAAACATATCAAAATTGTTATCACACATGTCTTACCCGTATTTAGCAAAATTGGTCCAGAGTGTGGTTACTCGATCTATCATCTCGATGACTCGAGATATATCTATATTTGCATTGTTTTCGGTGAACATTTTCATAGGAAAAATATAAGGGAGATCATCAGCATGACACGCTACATTCCTATCTCCAATAATGTCTGCTACTCCCAGCACATGTTTGAAAATATTTAATTCAGACTTGCAGGTAAATGTATAAAGGAAAACCTTATTTTTGCCTCTTTTTGCACAAAGTTTTTGAAATAAAATAGTAAAGTATTTAAAGAATTCTGTACCAAGATACTTTTGCAGAGTGTACACGTTGTCTATAGAAACGTCCTCATCTTTAAAATAGTAACTCTTTATCATTTTTCCTACTTCTATTTGGTCGATTAGTGGACAATACATAGCGATTGCTCGCGGTACGAAAAACTCGGGGTACTTATTGGCCTCAGTAAACATTTTGTGAACGTTTTGACCAGATCCTAGTAATAAAGCTCCGTCATCACCCGTGTAGCCTTCCATAACATCCACTCCTTCATGAATACCGTAGTTACGTAATACTTCAATAGGCTCAGCTACCATGAATCTTTCATTGTTTCCAAATTGTTTTTCTGCAGTAATATTAAAAGGTACAAGAAGACCTTCTTTATTAGTTTCCGCATACGTCACTGTAATGTGTTTATTAATAAGTGCTTCAACAGGTTGAGCCTTAAAAAACTTGGACACTTCCTTTACGTCTTTTGAAATACATCCTAATTCCCTAGCTAATTGTAGGGATCTTTCTTTAATCATGAAACTGGTTACGTAAGGAGTGATAGCAAGCCCACTTTGTGGTATGGCTCTCTTAAACAATCCTTTACTCATGGGTGATAAAAGGTGGAAGGAAACACTCGCACCTCCGGCACTTTCTCCAAAAATCGTAACGTTGCTAGGATCTCCTCCAAAGTTCCTGATATTCTTTTGTACCCATCTTAGTGCAGCAACCTGATCTTTCATCCCCGCATTGCCGGGTACGTCTTCCGTGTCCAAGCAAAGGAAACCAAGTATCTCAAGTCTATAATTAAACGATACAAGAATAACGTCCTGTCTTAATAAATACTCAGGTCCGTACATCTCATCGGTACCGCTTCCGCTTGTAAAACCTCCTCCGTGAATCCAAACCATGACCGGCAGCGGCTTGGTGGGCGTTATGTTCGGTGAGAATACATTGATGTACAAGCAGTCTTCGCTTCCGGGGATAAACTTTTGTTGGAAAACGTCATATTGGTGACAATTGTTTCCTAACTTCTTAGCATCTCGCACACCGCTCCATGGTTTTGGTGGTAAAGGAGCCTGTAATTAAATGGCCAAATAATATAAATCGCTTATAATATAAATAATATTATAGAACGGCCATACGAGTATGTCAGTGAATTAGAGTGTTATTATTTTTTGTTACAGAAAATAGTATGTCTTCGTTTATTTACAAAAAAGACGTTGACCTTCATACGTAACGAGTCAATTAAAATGTACGTTGTAGACATTTAAAATTTTATTATTTACAATTAATCGCATATTTTGTAAAATTAATGGAGTTATGAATTGGAACTTTCATAATGTAATTAAATACAGCTTTTTTAAAGCATTTGCTAAGAAACAACAGCAACAGCAGCAAAAATTAACTAAATATGATAATTAAAACAATAATTTTGTATGATTGCTTGGGTCTTAACACACGGTTGCAATACCGTTAGAAAAATCTATTTCCGCTTTTACAGTGTTACGTAGTTAAAATGGTCAATTATGACCTATTAAAATGGCACTGCGATTAATTTTGCATCGAAAAATTATTATAGTGGTAATGTAAAATGTTCAATTAAAATCAAATTTACCTTGAACCTGAGGTCTCCTAGCGGAGGTTGTGCATACGGAATGCCTTTGAAGCTGAATATTTTTCCCCCATATTCATTGTTTGTCACCTCTCCTTCTAATATGCCGTCGCTTATTCGTACTTGAACCATACTGGCCACCAACTTTTCTAAAATGTTATTTGTAAGCAACTGAACGCTCAGAGCGAATACGTCTTATTATAAAGATTGTTTTTTGCTGAATCATTCACATATATTTCGCGCCTGCAGCTATTTTATCATAACACTAGCTTTTTACCCTAAATTCGTATTGTTTAAAACTAATGTTCACTATCTTGTTTAATGCCTTTAGAGGTTAAATTTGTGTAAAATCACCCTTTTTATTTTAATTATTAATAAATTGAAATTCTCTATTAATGCTTCCTTAAGTATTGACGTAAACTCTTGTACAAAATGTCAAGTATCTAGGTCTAACAGTATTGGCACATGACTACAGAATAACTCCAAGGCGGTTTAGTGATTAAATTGCTAGCCCGTACCCGTCGAAATTACTAGCCTAGTGCATACGAAGCTTAGATTAATCAAATCTTAGCCTACTCTAGATTATACCACACTAAGTGACATCTAGATTTAAATAGTTGCATTGTAAAGTTACCGGTAACCCTAGGAGTACATTTGTCAAAATTAAGAATTCACACTTTGGATCATAACAAATTTTTTTTATTAGATATGAGTCTAAGTTAGTTAAATTTAGACTCGTATCTGATAAAAAATTAAGAAAAAAAAAAAGAAAATAAGAATTTTCAAAATAACGACCTAGAGATACGATATCATATACATAATGATAATGTAAAATTCTGATTACTATATTATTTTCGCCTCAGTATTCGATAAACACTTAACGTTGGCGTATCAGAGGTTAAGCGCTTGTTTGTAATCAACAAGTTGATTTCGATCCTGCCATGTTCTAGTAAGTCGTTCGTTTGTCAAATATCGTATGTGCGCTTATTCAATGTTCTTACGACAATGTGAAGTCCACCAATCTGATTGGCCTAAAGTGGTGAACTAAGGCCTAGTCAATCCTAAATTAGAGTGAGCATCGAGCCCTTAGTGGAAACACTTGTATTAACTGCCAACCCATTCAGTCACTTCACGCGTACTTCCAATTCTCAAAAATGTTCATCGACATCGTTAGGGCCACCTGTACCTAATCTGCTTTATCTCCCTAAACTAACTTGTAACTCCAATTCCATAGAAAGTTCATTATCATCGTCTGAGGCACTAAAACCGCAGTAGGGTTTCTATCTGATCTGGCTCTTATAGGTTACTCGCCAAAGATGCTTGGGTACCCTACAGTTACTCGAGCCAAGCGTAACCTACCGATTTTGATGGTCTGACTAAAATACCCACAAGCATTCTTTGTTTTTTTTTCAAGATTCGACATTTATGAACGTTTTTTTTTTAATCAGACCAAACAGTACTTCCTCTGCTAATCTCCAATGAAATGTGTTGTTGGTAATTGATTATAGTATCCAGTAAAATAAGTAAATTTAAAATGTCTTATGTTAAAATATAGGTACACGAGTACACGTGATTTAAAGTAGTTTGAAACTTCAACACACTTATGTTGCCTATTCAGACTCCAATCATTAGCTTACTTTTCGTGTTTCCCTTACTATTAAAAAATGTTAAGCAACTAAGGCTTTTCTGGAATTAGACATACTGCGAGAATCTTGAACCTCAATCAGATCTTTAAAAGGAAAACCACATCTACAAAATAGAAATATAAACAAACGTAAAATATATTCCTTAACTTATTGGTCAAATATGCAGCATGGTAATGTTTTAGTTTTTATATTTTACAGCAAAAACCGTCTACCTGGACTATAATAGGAAAACGAAATCAAGAAACATCTGAATTTCCAAAGATTTTTATTTAATCATTGTGTGTTATTTCAAGGAGCAAATTTAGGACAATACTTCTTAAAAACACTTTCCCAGAATTCAAGTTCCTCCTTGTCTGGTGCAGTACCGGCCACTAAATTATTACCGATGTCCAAATAGTCCTGGCCTTCTAAAGAGTATGGTTTCCAAATAACGCCGAGACTTTCATCGGGTGTTGGGTTACTGTAAAAAAAGTAACAACTTAGTATTGGTTTTACAATAACAATAAAATCTTTAATATCGTAATTTCTTACCCATATTTAGCAAAGTTTGTCCATAGTTTTGTTACTTGGTCTATCAACTTAATTACCCGTGAAATATCAAAGTTTGGGTTAATTGCCTTTAAAACTTTCATAGAGAAGATATAAGGAAGTTCATCAGCATGACTGACGACAGTCCTATCTCCGATGATATCTGCAACTCCCAGTAAATATTTAAAAATATTCAATTCAGATTTGCATGTAAAATTATACAGGAAAACTTTATTTTTCATTCCTTTTGCACAAAGTTTTTGAAATAAGATTGTGGGATATTTAAAGCATTCTGAACCAAAATACTTTTGCAAAGTATACACGTTGTCCTTAGAGATGTCCTCATCATTAAAGTAGTAACTCTTTATCATTTTGCCTACTTCTATTTGCTCAATTAGCGGGCAATGTATTGCGATTGATCTCGGTACGAAAAATTCAGGATATTTATTAGCTTCGGCGAACATTTTGTGGACGCTTTGACCGGCTCCTAGGATTAAAACTCCCTCATCTTCAGTGTAGCCTTCCATAACATCCACTCCTTCATGTATACCGTAATTACGTAATACTTCGATAGGCTCACCAACCATGAACCTCTCGTTATTTCCAAACTGTTTTTCTGCAGTAATATTAAAAGGTATGATAAGACCTTCTTTATTTGTTTCGGTATAGGTCACTGTAATATGTTTCTTAACAAGAGTTTCAACAGGCTGTGCCTTTAAAAACTTGGACACTTCCTTTTCGTCTTTTGAATTACATCCCAATTCCCTAGCTAATTGTAACGATCTCTCCTTAATCATAAAACTTGTTGCCCAATGAGCGATAGCAAGTCCGCTTTGTGGTATGGCTCTCTTAAATAATCCTTTACTCATAGGTGATAAAAGGTGAAATAAGACGCTAGCACCTCCAGCACTTTCACCGAAAATAGTGACATTGTTAGGATCTCCCCCAAAGTTACCGATATTTTTTCGAACCCATCTAAGAGCAGCAACCTGATCTTTCATGCCCGCATTGCCGGGTACGTCTTCTGTGTCCAGGCAAAGGAAGCCGAGGACTTCGAGTCTGTAGTTAAGCGTGACTAGAATTACATCGTGTCTTATTAAAAAATCTGGTCCGTACATCTCATCGGTACCGCTTCCGCTTGTAAAACCTCCTCCGTGAAACCAAACCATGACCGGCAGCGGCTTGGCGGGTGTTATATTCGGTGAGAATACGTTGACGTACAGGCAGTCTTCACTTCCATGACTCAGTTTTTGTAGGAATATGTCATATTGGTAACATTGATTTCCCAACTTCTTAGCATCTCGGACACCGTTCCAAGGTTTTGGTGGCAAAGGAGCCTGCAATTAAATGGCCAATGGAAAAAACCCGCTTATAATAACTAATAATTTATAACGACCAGCAGTCATAGCTATCGATCTCTACTTTAATTGTTTCAGAAGCTAAATTACATTTTATAAAATTGATTGTTTTTTTAGTGTAATCAGAGATCTAGTATGTCACATTTTTTATCTTCGGCGACAGTTTTCGTGATGATGCGATGATCTTACTTCGTTATTACCGCGACAAAAGAAATATTTACCTTAGAAAAAAAATATACTGTGACTTGCACAATGGATTCTATTATATACAATTATTCATCGGCAGCAGAAAAAAAAAGATTTACCTTAAACCTGAGGTCTCCAAGCGGAGGTTGTGCATACGGAATGCCTTTGAAGCTGAATATTTTTCCCCCATATTCATTTTCGATCACCTCTCCTTCTAATATGCCGTCGCTTATTCGTACTTGAACCATATTGAAAACTCTCCTGGAATGATATGTGTAAGCAACTAAATACGTAAAGCGAACACGTCTTGTTATAAAGAAAATAATGTGTCGAATCATTAGCGTCTGCAGTTATTTTTATCATAAGTCTAAATGTTTCCCGCGACTTTACCCGCGCGAAGATAAAACAAACTTTTAACACAGTCTTTTTCAGGTCCAATTTAATTGGAGCTTAAATCGAATAGTTATTTATTTGGTTCTGTTAATTGTTTAACTGTGAATACTGAACGACAGCCGGTCTTCGAATTTCCTTGATTTTTTCTAAGTCCAGCAATTCTACAAACGTGACCAAACTTAAGTTCTCTTTTTTTAATTTCTTTCTTAGTCCTCGCTTATGTAGTATCAAGAGACTCTATACAAAACTTCAAGCCTCCAATATTAATTTTGGATCTGTTAATAGTTGAATTAAAAAAATTTCTTATTTTTTATGAAGTTAGTGAAATTACATCACATGTACATATACCTAGTGACATGACGCCTTATACGTAACTTTTATCTACTCATATCTATGTAATCATTTCTACGTTAGTCAATTTGCGAACAAGTTGTGACGCGTTCAGCTACAGGATCAAAGGTTAGTAGCACCTTATGGAATCTTATTCTGTTTTTTTTTTTGTTAAACAGTAGAATAAGAAACGGGAAGAAATGACTTAGTTTAATGCAATAGTCTTGAGAATATGTCATCCATAGCTTTACCACATATTAATCTAAAAAAAAAAGTAAGCGAAACGTTCGAGTAGTAGTTGTAGGTGACTAGTTACTAAAATTTGTTAGTCAAAGACTTTTCAAGTACTTTTTGATATTTTTTTACCACATCTCTATGTTTTTGAAATTACTGTTATGAGAGTTCACAATCCGGATACTTAGTGATCGTAAACATTGGTTCGACGCCGTGTTCGTGAAAGCACTTTAAATACATTTCTAGGATTTTCATTAAAGTGCGAACCCGAAACTACCATGTAACAATTTCTGCGTGGTATACATTTTTCCATTTCGCTGATCATCACTATCGCTGATCGAAAAATCAAAAAAAAAATGAAAGTATAGACAGATGGATGGATGTTTGTTAGAGTTTGCAGCCTAAACGGCTAAACGGATCTCGACGAAATTTGGGATAGATGTACAACATAGTCTGGAAGAACACATAGGCCACTAACTTTTGTGTTTTTTAAATTCCACAGGGCCGTTGTCACGGGCAAAGGCTTGTATTCCATAAGTGCTCCTTTACAAGGTATCCATTCAATCATAATGAGATTGTAAAAATTAAAATATCGCACTTTGGCAAAGAGTGGCAGATAAGGTCTAAATTAGTTTGCGAATTTTAAAAATATGTACCATCATCATTATTATCTATGTAATATCATATCTCCTGATGACGCTTGATGACGCTGTTTTTTATTTAGCGTCAACGTTTGACAAAAACGTCACGTCGCGTCGTGTCATTGGTGAGTTAAATGTTTAACTTGTCATCGGCAGGTAAAATAATCATATTTAACACTATTTTATTCCTATCTGTCTCCCTTTAACTATACTTCTTTACTAATGTAATAAAGAATAAACACACGATACTTCGTGACGTAGGATGTCAGCAATCACAATATGTTTTTCAGTAATTTTCGTAAAAAAAAAATATTTACCTACTAAAAAGTAACAAAACATTTCCTTGAATAAAACCTCCCTTATCGTACACTTCTATGTTGTACAATTATTATTACTTTGTTGTTGATGTAAGTCGAGATATTTCTACGTAGGGCTTTCGACATTTTTATTTCATTTTATACCATCTTTCGCCCGCCACTCCGTCCGAGTGGAATAAAAAAAAACAAAAGTCTATAGCCTATGTGTTCTTTCAGACTATACTCTACATCTGTACCAAATTTCATCGATATCCTTTCAGCTGTTTTGGCTACAAACTCTGACAAACATCCATCCATCTATCTAAACTTTCGCATTTATAATATTAGTATGATTTAACAATCGACCGGATTACTTTTTACCAGTATTATAAGTGCCTGTGCCTGTAAAGACTGTGTAGCCTAAGTCACTTTTGTTTTTTTTTTAATTCGACGCCGACGGAGTCGCGGGCGAATTCTAGTTAATACAAAGCATGGTATGAATAGGCGTAGGAATAGAAGGAGATTGCTAAAAAGGTAACGTGATAAATAGAAGACTAATATAGTAGAAGATAAAAGAACTAGCGTCGGTGGCTCAGTGGTTAAAGCACTTAACTTGTAATATATAGATCTTGAGTTGGAATCGCGCCATATATTAGTGTGATTTTCGATCTTTCGAATTTTCATATGTACATAATTTACCCGACGTTCTTACGGTGAAGGAAAACATCGTGATGCAACCTGCACATATCAGCGAAGAAATTCAAAGACATGTGTGAAGTCAACCAACCCGCATTGGGCCAGCGCGGTTGACTATGACCTAGTCATCCTAACCACCTTCGGTGGGGACGTATAGTGAGCTTGTGATGATGACATTAGAAGATAAACCAATAAGGAGGATGAAAACCTGCTGTGCGACACTGATGACGATGAAATAATTCATGTAGCAATTAATTTAAATCAATTTATATTTAAATGTTTATTAGATTAAAAACTCTTACAGTTAGTTTAACACTACAAGATAGCATTGTGTACTACAACCACAGAGATGAATTACAAAAATATAAACAGGATAGATTTTTAAAAGATGTTTTAATGAAATCAATATTTTAAACTTTATGGAGCAAATTTGGGACAATATTTCTTGAATATACGTTCCCAAAATTCCAGTTCATCCTTGTCCGGTGAAGAACCAGCCACTAAGTTATTACCGATATCCAAAAAGTCCTGCCCTTCTAAAGAGTATGGTTTCCAAATAACGCCGAGACTTTCATCTGGCGTTGGGTTACTGAAACGAAAGAATGTATTTTACTATTATATAATAATAAAAATATTAACAATTAAGAAACATTTCGTCAATGCAATTAGACAAATCTTACCCGTATTTAGCAAAATTTGTCCAAAGTTTTGTAACTTGTTCTATCAAGTTGAAGACTCGTGAGATATCGATATTTGGATTATTTGCGGTGAATATTTTCATGGAGAAGATATAAGGTAGTTCATCAGCATGACAGACTACATTCCTATCTCCTACGATATCTGCGACACCCAGCGCATGTTTGAAAATATTTAATTCAGACTTGCAAGTAAATGTATAAAAGAAAACTTTGTTTTTGCATCTCTTCGCACAAATTTTTTGGAATAATATTGAGGGATATTTAAAGCATTCTGTACCAAGATACTTTTGGAGAGTGTATACGTTGTCCATAGAAACTTCTTCATCCTTAAAATAGTAACTCTTTATCATTTTACCTACTTCTATTTGATCGATCAGTGGACAATGTATAGCGATGGATCGCGGTACGAAAAATTCGGGATATTTATTGGCCTCGGTGAACATTTTGTGGACGCTTTGACCAGATCCTAGGAATAAAACACCCTCGTCTTCAGTGTAGCCTTCCATAACATCCACACCTTCATGTATACCGTAACTACGTAATACTTCGATAGGCTCAGCTACCATGAACCTTTCATTGTTTCCAAATTGTTTTTCAGCAGTAATATTAAAAGGTACGATAAGAGCTTCTTTATTTGTTTCCGCATACGTAACTGTAATATGTTTCCTAATAAGTGCTTCTACAGGCTGTGCCTTTAAAAACTTAGACACTTCCTTTTCGTCTTTTGAATTACATCCCAATTCCCTAGCTAATTGAAACGATCTTTCTTTAATCATAAAACTTGTTGGCCAATGAGCAATAGCATGTCCACTTTGTGGTATTGCTCTCTTAAATAATCCTTTACTCATTGGTGATAAAAGGTGAAAAGAAACACTCGCACCTCCGGCACTTTCTCCGAAAATTGTAACATTGTCAGGATCTCCTCCAAAATTACTGATGTTTTTTTGAACCCATCTAAGTGCAGCAACCTGATCTTTCATGCCAGCATTGCCGGGTACGTCTTCTGTGTCCAGACAAAGGAATCCAAGGACCTCGAGTCTATAGTTAAACGATACAAGAATAACGTCCTGTCTTATTAGAAAATCTGGTCCGTACATCTCATCGTTACTGCTTCCGCTTGTAAAACCTCCTCCATGAATCCAAACCATAACCGGCAGCGGCTTGTCGGGTTTTATGTTCGGTGAGAACACATTGATGTACAGGCAATCTTCGCTTCCTGGACTGATTTTTTGTAAGAAAATATCGTAGTGGTAACATTGGTTTCCCAACTTCTTAGCATCTCGCACTCCGTTCCAAGGTTTTGGTGGCAAAGGAGCCTGAAAAATGGGGCAAATGTAACAATGTACAATAAATTATTGAAACGACTTAAGGGTTAAAGTTCATAAAGGTATGAGATTATTGTTTTTTTTGTGCATTTCGCTTGTTAATTTTTAAGTAAGAAAAGTTTCAATGGGTTCAATGGATTAATCAACGTCATCAAACTTACTTATCAAAACTTTTAACACAAAAAATCTCTAGTGTCTTTTTTAGGTTTTAAGATTACGCGTGACAACATTTAAGATTGTATAAATAGTAATGTAAAAGGACTGGATCTGGATTATATTGTTTCCTGTTAGAAGATGCGAAGCAAAGATGTAATTTAATTTAGAATCTTTAGGAAGATCAAATAAAAAGAAAACAAAAACAATGAGGTGAACCACAGAACATTAGTAACACATTTTGCATCGACCATTAGGAAAAATGAAAACGTAGTTTAAAATTAACATCAGCTTTACCTTGAACCTGAGGTCTCCTAGCGGAGGTTGTGCATACGGAATACCTCTGAAGCTGAATATTTTTCCACCATATTCATTGTTGGTCACCTCTCCTTCTAATATACCGTCACTAATTTGTACTTGAACCATTTTTAAAACACTTCTAAAATGATATTTCTAAGCAACTGAATACGTAGAGCGAAGTCGAGTTTTTATAAAGAAAAAAATGTGCCAAATCATCTATTGTCACTTTGCAGGCACTGTTTTTATCGTAAGATAAGCTGTTTCCCGCGGCTTCGTCGGGCTGGAATTACCAATAAAACAATGTGTTTGTCCTAATTGTAGATATTACCACCATTTTAAAAAAGCTTGAATAAAGTAGTTAATTATTGGTTTTGTAAAGTGTAAGTGTCACTTTTCAAGTAGATCAGCTGTAATCTTTAGAAGAATTAAAAATTACTATTATACTATTTCTAATACCATTCCAAGTAAGCTCTAGGATTATGCTAGAAATGGTTTATGAATGGCGGGATTCAAACCCTCGACCACGTGACCTGAAATTTGTACTTTTAACCATTAGGCTGTTGGCGCTTCTAATGAATAAAATACTTGATACAGTATTTTTTTTACTTAAATAAATGTTGTTGAATCACAATAAATGTATTTACCTGGTGACATTACGACAGTCCTTGTAATTTTTATCTAATTAATTGCTTTTATTCTTTTTTAGTAAATTTATTTGAACTAGTCGAATCGAAACATAAGCGAATCCAATTTTGATATGACCCTGACATGTTATATTGTTAGTTCTAGAGAACCTTCTAGTCAGGCTTAAAGATCGAACCCAAATATAATAATAATAATAAAGCCATTTATTTCCTTACAGATAAACGCTAAAGTATTAAAACAATGTACTTATAAATACACACTGTTTACATTTGTGAATATTAAAAATTTAATGTACATTTCTTCTTTTAAAAGTATTTTTGTTTCTATTTATTTTCCTTTATTTTTTAAATTATTTTTAAGTAATGAAGTCGAGAACCGAGTGATTTTCTGCTTCTTATATATTCATTCGAGTCGATTCTTTTCGTTCCATTTTTCCGGCGTCTAACATCTCCACGCAACACTTGTTACTCACTGTCGGTTTAGTCGAGTTAATTATTTAAATTTAACTTTTATCGTGCAATACCATACTTCTATATTCAGGAAGGTCGATGAGGGGGTTTCCCCCTAAAAATTTACCACTTCAAACCTGATGAGGGAAGGTCATCACTAGTGATGTATTACACTAGTGATGTTGTACTTTACCAATATACTATACTTGACGGAATGTGAACTATTTTTGAGCAGTAGAGTAAAATGCAAAGCTTCAGTTGATCAAATCAAAGCTTACGATAGATCATATCGTACTTGTTTTTGTGCGACCCTTAATTCCATAATATCCTAAGTTGCAAAAATTTAAAAGAGTTTACGAGAATTAAAAATCGGACTTTGCACTGTAACTATAATCAATACAAGATATAAGTAAGATATAAAAATCGCAACATCATCGTTCTTACCTAACACGATAATGTACCTATACCTGCAGATTACGTCACGTTACGATGTTATTTACCGTAAATATTTAATAACAGTGTCACGTCCGTGGCTCAGGTTTGAACGCTTGACTTGCTATATGCAGTTCTTGGTTCGATCCCCGTCAAATACCATTACAGTTTTCAAATTTTGAATTGATATATACTAGCTTTTGGCCGCTACTCCGTCCGCGTGGAATTTACTATGCTAAATGTCGATATTCGTTCAGTCGTTTAGGCTACAAACTCTAACAAACATCCATTTATTCATCTAAACATTCACATTTATGTATATTCCTAAAGTATATGAGATGCCATATAAAACCTAGTCAAGTGAATTTAATAAAAAAGCTTTGGTAATCACACAACGTAGTAGAATTTTCACAGCGTAGATACAAGGTCTAGAGACTTGGAATTTTTCTCTTTTAATTAATAAATTCCTAGGTGAGCGCCATAAAAGCGTTTTACGTAATTCATCTTCCAAATGTCTAAAGTGGGGCCCAGAGTCTGTCAGGAGACATGGTATACGAACGGCAGGCGAGCGCTGAGCAATCGCAGCGTCTTGCTGAAAACAGAGTAAGGAATTAGCAAACAAGGACAAGAGAAAGTAGCGGCGAACGTTCATTTTGTCTTGCCGAACAAAATACGAGTTCGTCGCAGATATATGATCGGCAGTCGAGCGTCGAGCGATCGCAGCGTCTGGCTGAAAATAAAGTAAGGAAGTAACAAACAAGGGCAAGGGAAAGTAGCGGCGAATGATCACGTCGTCTTCCCGAACAAAATGCGAGATCGTTGCAGGTATACGAACGGTAGTTAAGCGTCGAGCGATCGCAGCGTCTCGCTGAAAATAAAGTAAGGAAGCAGCAAACACGGCCAAGGGAAAGTAGCGGCGAACGATCACGTCGTCTTGGCGAACAAAATGCGAGATCGTCGCAGGTATACAAACAGCAGTCGAGCGTCGAGCGATCGCAGTGTCTCGCTGAAAATAAAGTAAGGAAGTAGCAAATACGGGCAAGGGAAAGTAGCGGCGAACGATCGCGTCAATTTGCCGAACAAAATGCGAGATCGTCGCAGGTATACGAATGACAGTCGAATGCCGAACGCTCACAGAGTCTTGCTGAAAACAGAAATATGACCTAACAATCGCGTGCAAAAATCTAGAGAAAATCTAGAGACTGTTTAGTCTCTAGATTCGCATTTAGATCTCGCAGCGACTCGTGGCACAGAGAAACAGTCAACGATCTGTAACAACTAGGACTCTCAATAGAATTTTAGCTCAGAGCATTAGATTTAAAGATGGCATTTAGTTACGATCCTAAAATCCTCATCAAAACAGTGCAATGAATAATATTTGTTCTAAATATTTTACTATAAATGGACTAATAAAGCGAACGGTATGTGCTGCACATCTGTGAAAGCGGCCGTGAAAAGTTATTAGACAAACAATTCTGCACTTTTCGCGCATTTTTTGAATAAAATATTTAAATACAATAGCCTTTTTCAAATGACTACTTTTGAATCAAAAGAAGTTAGAGAGGGAAAATTTTATGCTCACATTTAAGGTAGAAGGAAAAGTTTATCGTATAATAGGTAGCCTTTTGCCATCAGGATAAAGTAATTTTTACAAATCTATTTCATTTCGGATGCCGACCAGCATCATTATCATTATATCATTAAGAACTGGATTACATTAGGAACTTCATTAACGTGGATCCCACACTAAAACTAAATTTGGGAAATAAATTGCAGACTACGTTACATAGACACAATGCTTTAATACAAAGTATTGAACATTGTATCGAATTTAATACCCAGGAGAATTTAAAAATAACTATTCACTCTGATCGCACACTTCGACACAAAACAGAGAAAAATGTAATGCTCCTATAAATGAAGTGGCATTCTCCTTGGTTGATGAGGATTTGGGGCCTAGGGACATTACATTGCACTCAAGAGATGACAGTTAAAACGATTGCCGGAATTATACCGGGCCTATTATTTGCTCCTATGTCCTTTAATATTTAGTTTTAGATATCGATATTGTTTAAATATTCCATAGAAGAATTAACCAAGAAGTAAGACTGTAGTATGATTTTTTTTATATTTTTATTGATATTCTGATACATAAAGACAAGGAAATTGAAAGAGTGTAAAAAATGCATAAGTGCTCTGAACTGTTTCGAGCAAAGAGTGTTCGGCTGCGCTCACATCGGCGAGTGCTACACTAGATTAAGCTCCTGCACACCAATGCTGTAAAAAGATCCTTTACAATATTTTTTTTTTATTTCAGTTCAATCTCTTGTCTATGGCACTCCCTTAGCGGATTGGGCCCGTGTCGAGTTATTTTTTTTATACAGTTATTATTTACCTATGCAACAATTGCCATAATAAACATATTTTTTCTATTCTTTTACTGCTTTTTAATTGCATGTTATTATGCAACACAACAATGATGACAGTTGTTAAAATAAAGATTTGAGCCAATTTTAAAATTAAATAAAAACATTTTTACAAATTGCTATTATACGAAATGTATTTATGTAAAATCTCTTTTTGTTATTTCAAGGAGCAAACTTCGGACAATATTTCTTGAAGATACATTCCCAGAATTCCAGTTCATCCTTGTCTGGTGCAGTACCAGCCACTAAATTATTACCGATGTCCAAAAAGTCCTGTCCTTCTAAAGAATATGGTTTCCAAATGACTCCGAGACTTTCATCGGGTGTAGGATTACTGTGAAGAAAACAATGCATCACATACTTTAAAAATGTATAAAAAACAATTGCCAAAATTAACTTACCCATATTTAGCAAAATTTGTCCAAAGTTTTGTAACTTGGTCTATTAACTTGAAGAGTCGTGAGTTGACATCAACTTTTATGTTATATGCAGTAAACATGATAGTATTGAAAATATAATTAAGTTCATCGCCATGACAGACTACAGTCCTATCTCCCACGATATCTGCTACACCAAGTAGATGTTTGGTGAAATTTAATTCAGACTTGCAAGTAAATGTATACAGGAAAAATTTATTTTTTCCTTTTTTTGCACAAATCTTTTGGAATAAAATTGAAGGATATTTAAAGCTTTCTGTACCAAGATACTTTTGTAATGTATACACGTTGTCCATTGACATGTCCTCATCTTTAAAATAGTAATTCTTGATCATTTTGCCTACTTGTATTTGATCGATTAGTGGACAATGTATGACGATTGATCTCGGTACGAAAAATTCGTGGTACTTATTAGCCTCCGTGAACATTTTGTGGATGCTTTGACCGGACCCTAGAAATAAAACTCCCTCGTCTTCAGTGTAGCCTTCCATAACATCCACTCCTTCATGTATACCGTAATCACGTAATACTTCGATAGGCTCAGCTACCATGAACCTTTCATTATTTCCAAATTGTTTTTCGGCAGTAATATTAAACGGCACAAAAAGAGCTTCTTTATTAGTTTCCGTATACGTCAGTGTAATATGTTTCTTAACAAGTGCTTCAACAGGTTGTGCCTTTAGAAACTCGTACACTTTCTTCTCATCTTTTGCATAGCACCCCAATTCTCTAGCCAACTGCAACGATCTACATTTGATCATAAAGCTTGTTGGCCAGTGAGCAATAGCGAGTCCACTTTGTGGTATAGCTCTCTTAAATAATCCTTTACTCATGGGTGACAAAAGGTGGAAGGAAACACTCGCACCTCCGGCACTTTCTCCGAAAATCGTAACGTTATTAGGATCTCCCCCAAAGTTGCTGATATTTTTTTGAACCCATCTTAATGCAGCAACCTGGTCTTTCATGCCCGCATTGCCAGGTACGTCTTCCGTGTCCAAGCAAAGGAAGCCGAGTACCTCGAGTCTATAGTTAAACGAGACAAGAATAACGTCATGTCTTATTAAGAAATCTGGTCCGAACATCTCATCGGAACCGCTTCCGCTTGTAAAACCTCCTCCGTGAATCCAAAGCATGACCGGCAGCGGCTTGGTGGGTGTTATGTTCGGCGAGAACACATTGATGTACAGGCAGTCTTCGCTTCCAGGAGTGAGTTTTTGTAAGAAAATATCGTAATGATAACATTCGTTTCCCAACTTCTTAGCATCTCGCACTCCGCTCCAAGGTTTTGGTGGCAAAGGAGCCTGTAAATAAAGGGGTTTTATAATACAATATTCCATTGCGAGGCATTCAGTCTTTTTTCGTTAAAATCCATTTTAAATTTAGACTTGTTATAAACTTGTATGTTTAACTTTAATCTTTGTGTTTAGATTCAACAATTTTTTTTAACTTGTATAGGAACTTCCTCGTTTATAAAAATTATTAATAAATCAAATAATCATTTCATGAAAGTCCGGTCAAAATCTGCCTAGCCGTTTCATAGATTACCCGGAACAAACGCGGCTTGCGGACAGTCAGATAAAATTTTTGTAAATGCGATTTTCGTTATCAGCAACACAAACATATCATCTTCCTGAAATCTGAAATTCTTATTTTGATATTACAGACACTCCAATTTTATTACATGTATAGTTTTTTGTCTATGGTTTTGAAGAATATAGCAAAATAGAAGCAACATAAAAATTGTCCTCTCTGTTTACCTCATTAAACTGTTATTTAAACTATGGACAATAGCAGATATCCCTTTGAAGTGACATAACGCGGAAATTAAAAAGTACATTTTTAAATTAATTTATAGATACCTTAAATCTTAGATCTCCCAGTGGAGGTTGTGCATATGGAATACCTTTAAAGCTGTATATTTTTCCCCCATATTCATTATCGACTACTTCTCCTTCTAATATTCCATCAGCAATTTGAACCTGAACCATTTCCTCTTCTAATGCTATCTTTGTAAGCAACTGGATGTGATGATCAGTGATGTCTTATTATAATGAACTATTTGTACTGAATCATAAGACACACTGTTGGCATCCACTTTTATTTATTTGGAAATCTACTAGTCATTATCATGTAAATCAGTATTTCCCTATCGTGTCCTTATCGTAATATGATTGGAAATCCAATTATGCTTTGCTATAGAAGTTGACAATTTTTAACGTTTTTTTGAGTTAAATTTTAAATTTTCGATAGATGTTACAAAGAACTTAGAATCGACAGTTAAAGTTTACGATTAGTTATTTATTTAATTGTAATTCTAGCATTAGTAGAGTTATATAAAAACAACGAAATCCAGCAAAAAGTAAAAAAAGTATATTATATGATTTATATCCTATAAAGATTGTGATGCGACCTGCACCTCTTTGCAAAGAACTCCGTGGTATCGTATAGTCAACTGATGATCATAAAATAACAATTAATAATTAATTAATTTTATTTTTTGCTTTAAAAAGGTAATTTTATTTAAACAGCCGACAAACATAATAATATCTGTAATCGGTATGTTACATGTTTTTGACTATAATACTGTCTGTAGAAAACACCCTGAATTTTAAAAAAATGTTCAAAAACCATCATTTGTTATTTCATGGAGCAAACTTGGGGCAATACTTCTTGAAGATACGTTCCCAGAATTCCATTTCATCCCTGTCCGATGCAGTATCAGCTACTAAATTAGTACCGATGTCTAAAAAGTCTTGGCCTTCTAAAGAGTATGGTTTCCAAATGACTCCGAGACTTTCATCGGGTGTTGGGTTACTGTGAAAGAAATAATAAAGTTGATTATTTTTACGTATTAAAAAATAGTATTATAAATCATAATTACAATTACAAACACACATCTTACCCGTATTTAGCAAAATTTGTCCAAAGTTTTGTTACTTGATTTATCAAATTGAAGACTCGTGAGATATCTATATTTGGGTTATTTGCAGTAAAAAACTTGATAGGAAATATGTAAGGTAGTTCATCAGCATGACAGGCTACAGTTCTATCTCCAACAATATCAGCGGCCCCCAGTAAATGTTTAAAAACATTCAATTCAGATTTGCAGGTGAATCTGTATAGGAAAATCTTATTCTTTCCTCTTTTTGCACAAATCTTTTGGAATAAAATTGAAGGATATTTGAAACATTCCGTACCAAAATACTTTTGCAGAGTGTATACGTTGTCCATAGAAACGTCTTCATCCTTCAAATAATGACTCTTTATCATTTTACCTACTTCCATTTGATCGATAAGCGGACAATGTATAGATATTGATCTTGGTACGAAAAACTCTGGATATTTATTAGCCTCGAAAAACATTTTGTGCACATTCAGACCAAACCCTAAACAAGCAACTCCCTCGTCTTCTGTGTAGCCTTCCATTATATCCACTCCTTCATGTATGCCATAATTACGTAATACTTCGATAGGCTCAGCTACCATGAACCTTTCATTGTTTCCAAATTGTTTTTCTGCAGTAATACTATATGGCACTAAAAAAGCTTCCTTATATGCTTCGGCATACGTCACTGTTGTATGTTGGTTAACGAGTGCCTCAACCGGCTGTGACTTTAAAAAATTGTACACTTCCCTTTCGTCTTTTGAAGTACATCCTAAGTCCCTAGCTAATTGTAACGATCTATCTTTGATCATAAAACCTGTTGGCCAATGTGCTATAGCGGTTCCACTTTGTGGTATGGCTTTCTGAAACAATCCTTTACTCATGGGTGATAATAGGTGGAAGGAAACACTCACACCTCCGGCACTTTCTCCGAAAATTGTAACGTTGTTAGGATCTCCTCCAAACTTGCTTATATTTTTTTGAACCCATCTAAGTGCAGCTACCTGATCTTTCATGCCAGCATTGCCGGGTACGTCTTCGGTGTCCAGGCAAAGAAAGCCGAGGACTTCGAGTCTATAATTAAATGTAACAAGGATAACATCATTTCTTATTAAATAATCTGGTCCGTATATCTCATCTGAACCGCTTCCATTGGTAAAACCTCCTCCGTGAATCCAAACCATGACCGGCAGCGGCTTGGCGGGTGTTATATTCGGTGAGAAAACATTGATGTACAGACAGTCTTCGCTTCCTGAATTCGTTTTTCCGAAGATTCTATCATATTGGTAACATTGGTCTTTTATCTTCTTAGCATCTCGCACTCCGTTCCAAGATTTGGGGGGCAAAGGAGCCTTTAAATAAAGAGATTAATTATTCTAAGGTACATGTTTTAACACTAAGTGAAGTTTAGTTGAGCTTTTATTTTATCTTATGATTGGGAAATATTGGGTTAGAAAACACAGGAGTATTATTTTGACTTGGTTTCTAAAGGTTTTTAGAGTTTTCTTTATAGCGCTCCCCGCAGTTCGCAGTACCACAATCATTGTTCAGTGACGTGAGTTATAAAATCTATACTAATATAATAAAGCGTAAACACACACTTCTTTATTGCCTAAGATGTCAGCAATAACAGGATATTTTTGAATAATTAAATTTTAATAAAAAGCCTTACGCCATTAAACTTAGGGGGAAATATTTTGGATAAAAACCCCAACGTGGGAAAGAGACCATAGGTTGCTGCCAACATCAAGGAAGCAAGGTTGTCATGACATATCATTTTGACATTTGTAATTGATAATTTATTTATTTATTTATTTATTCATTGGAAAGGTACACCAATTGCATGTTCAAGGTTCACAACCAAATTAATATACCGTATACAATGAAAAACATAGAAGCAGAAGAACATACAGATGACAGGCGTACACAGCGCTCACAAAAAATGATGTTTTACTTTTTAATAACAAACGTTGAATCACGTTAATTACAACTAATATAAATTAGGGTATAATTTGACAGATGTAAACAATAAAATAAAATATTCATAATTTTAAGTCGAGCGGGGACAGCTAGTATGATATATAACTTGAAATATTTAACTATTCGTTCTTAGTAGTAGTGTTTAAAGGATTTCTATGTTTGTACTGTGAATTTACTGAGTCGCTGTTAGGCTAATAGGCTTGCTAACAAAAACTAACAAAAAAAGAGAATCGACGTAATCGTATCGTATCTTTTAATATTATCAAATACCATAATGGTATACAATTTTATCGTTTAATCTCTTTTTTTTTCATACTATCAAAACATATCGTCGTTGATTAGATAAACCGAACTTTGTACTCAAAAACATTCTCGATACTGGATTACGTGCACAAAAATATATCTTAATTTAGTAAAAAATTAAATCTTACTAGCTTTCGCTCGCGTCTTCATCCGCATGGAATTTAAAAAACAAAAATTAAGTAGCCTATGTGTTCTTCCAGACTATTCTCTACATTTGTACCAAATTTCACCGAAATCCGTTTAGCCGTTTTGGTTACAAACTCTAATAAACATCTATCCATCTAAACTTTCGCATATAATATTAGTGAGATTAGATTAATTAGTGAAATATTACGCAAGACATGTACGTGTGAATATATTAGTATATTTATTAACAAATTTACCTTAAACCTCAAGTCTCCTAGCGGAGGTTGTGCGTATGGAATTCCTTTGAAGCTGAATATCTTTCCACCGTATTCATTGTTGGTCACCTCTCCTTCTAATATACCGTCACTAATTTGTACCCGAACCATATTGAAAAATTTTCTAAAATATTTGTAAGCAACTGAATGATCAGAGCGGATACGTCTTATTATAAAGAATAATTTGTGCTGATTCATTCACAATCGAATCAAATCTGTAGCTATTTTGAGAAATCACATAAGTCAGTGTAATAATGGTCAGCATATCCTATTAAAAATGTTTTTATGTTATCAGAGTATTTTTTAGATTTGATTTTAATTCCACGATCGCTGATGAAAAAAGATAAAAATGAAATTGTTATTCGACTAACAGTACTATCCAAATATTACAGACTAAACGGCAATCCCATCTAATTTTTTCAACAATAAACTGATGTTAAAATTAACTTATTAAAACTTTCGTGAGACATTATACTATATTATTTATATTTATAACACGACTAACACTCACGTGGGAACTTTCGGTGTAGGCACAGACCAGTTTCAAACCCGTAGGGGGTCCTTCTTCAGGGTGAATGCCTACACCGAAAGTTCCCACTTGAGTTTTAGCCGTGTTATAAATATAAATAATATGATGTTAAAATGATTAGGTAAACTTGATTGATTTTCAAAAATTGATTAATTTTTTTTTCGAATCCCTATAGCCTAGTAAGGTCTGCAAAAAAGTGGAACTAAATTTGATTTCTGTTATGCACGTACTACGAAGATTTTGATTGGCGTTGCTTTGGAACATACAGAATGTATAGAGGTGCACGTTCACGTAACGCCTTTTCATGGATTTGAATCCAGTAATTGGTCCCATTGAGACTGGGGGCCAGACGTGACCGGCTTCAAATGCACGTAAAAATTTTATCGACGTTAAGGGACTAGGTACATGTAAGGTAGACTATTCCTTCTGATTTTTAGAGGAAAACTTAATTTGTCAAGGACATTTATGCATGGAAAATAATAATAATAAAACTTTGTTTCGAGGAGATCTCATATTTTGTTAGTAAAAAATCTTATTGACTAGTACTAGTAAAAGAGTGATTAAGAAGCAATTTTTACTAGTTACATTATTAGCAGTGCAAGTTATTGAAGCGCCGCACTATTGCACTATCCCATCTGGCTGCTAAAATCTGGAGAGAGTTTTTACTGCTGTAGGTACGGTCAAAAAGCGAAGCGCACCTGTACCGCATGATCGCGAAAAAGTCATTAACCTTGGCTCCAGCAAACATTGCTGAAGCACTCCCGAACCGTGGTAACCCCAACATTGCTCTGAGTCCGTTGTTATACTGGACACGCAGCGCGCTGTATGCTCTCTGCGTGAAGGTGGTCCAAAGACTGCACGTGTAGAAGGACTGGCAGAGCGCTCGAAAAAGAGTTATTTTCACTTCACGCGTACACTTTGTTCTGTTTGTCCTATTAATTATTTTTATATGAAACATTGCTAATCAATTACTTTCATGTTTTAGGTGTCTCATGTTCTATCAAATCCGTCTACATTTTAATGTTTGGAAAATCTTATTAATTAAAAAGTTTTTCATTTATAGTATCTATGCACGTTACTTTTATATCTAGTGATTGAGAGCATTCCTTTACAGATAAATTGTAAAAAACTAGTGCTCTGTAAATATAGGAATATTTTTTACTTTTAAATTCTGTTTCAAAACTTTTTATCTGGCATTTCTCTGTAAAGGAAATTCAGATTTTTATTTTCCATTCAACAAAAATGTACTGAATATTCTATTGAAACGTAGTTTCTAACAAGAATAAACTTTAATATTGATTATCAATATTTTAGTACAAGCAATAGTTAATTTGGGAATTAAGTTAACTGTGACCACCGGTAAGTATAATACGTCAATAAGTAAATTTAAAAAGATGTTATGTTTAATAACGACGTGAGGATTCTAAGCAGAATATAATAAATGTGCTCAGTCAAAGATAACTAATTTGTGATATCTATATAATTTCAAATGGGAAAATTGGTAGATAATTAATATCGGTATAGCGCATCAAATATGTTCCTGATTAGATAATTTTAATACCTTACATACGAGCAATCGCTAGGGTCGTTTAGGCGACGCGTTTAAATTGTACGGTCTGCAAAAACAGTTCACTAATTTTCTTCACATATTTCGTGTAATTGTCGCAACGTACGTTTAAGTGGGGAGTCCTCGTGATAATCGCGGACGTAATTTCAACCAACACACTGCATACTGCTTTGATCTTACTTCGAGGATCTATCTTGAGGTTGGACGACAAAATTTTTTACGCTATATTTTTTAACACAAATTTTGTATTACATCTTGATTATGTTTAAATAACTTTTAATGAAAATAATTTCATAGACTAAGCTTTTTTTTATGTCACAACTTTTACAGTCAGACTTTTGAACAGCGACCTCTAGTGGTACATTCAATAACCTGAGTGCATGAAATTAAAACATGAAACATTGCATTTTTTTTAAATAAAAAGTCAAGAGTTGAAAAAAATTCTACGTCGATCTTTAAAATTTGTGTAGATTAATTCACATTGGCGTTGGCAAAGCTATATTGAACGTGTTAATTTTATTAAAAAAAAATATCACAGGATTCTCATGCTCAGAATAGGTACCCAGTGCAATGTCCCCTAAGGCATTTGTCGGCAATATTTCTCGTCATCAAAGGACAGCAATGCAGCGCATGGCGCGCCGACCGTAACATTCTTTTATGACCGAGCATAATATACCTCGTTAGCGGACTTCAACTAACTGTTTCCTTTCATTTTTAAATATCAAATAAATTTGCTTTAATTATGGACTTCATTAATTTTTATCACAATGTGTGGTCATTGTATTCACAATCAACATGTGCTTCAAAACAGCGTCTATTTAGGACTTATAGTTCCGACTATACGTCCTCGTTGACCTCGTCGACGTCTGCATGAAAGTACAGTTCAAAATATTTCTTTAATAACAAAACGATTAAAAGCCCAATTCGAAGATTTCCCGGAACAAAGGAGGACTTGGGGATAAAAAAATAAAATTAAACACATAATAAACAAGTTCAAAATGTTTTCAGTTCGATCAATACCTGTATGTATGTATGTATGTCAATCACTACACAAAGATGATCAGCGACAAAAGTAAAAAAAATATTCCGAGTTGACAATAAAAAAGTTTTTTAATATTCCAACTCTTCGTTGTAATCCTTGGGTCGAGATTTTTTTCCTCCGAGACGAAAGGCTGTTGCAGACCTAATTTCTTATAAAGGGGACAAAATTCCCCGCAACTCGGGCCTTAGTACTTTGTAAGTATAAGATTGAAATGCTTAATCTCCTTTTGTTGGCCTCGAGATTTGCGCTTGAGACTTAATTTGTAAAACGGGCGGTTACGTAATAGCTGTTCTGTTGACTTGCCTGTGTAAACTGGTCCGAAATATGGTTGCTGACTAACCGCTACGCACAGGAGCATTAAATTATTAGTTAAGTAGTCCATTAACTCGTATAATCCAGCCGGATCTTATGACTCAAGCAACCAATCAGGGCTCCAGATCAAGAAACTGTATTGTGCGTGTTTAAAGCAATTGACTTTTGTATTGGCCCTAAAACCGTTCCAACTGTTTATTGAGAGCTTCTTAAAGTGTTTGTGTTGCAAGGTATATGTTCGGAATTATTATTATTGCTACTAAGTACAAAAACCTTGCTTTGCTTATCATCATCAACTATCTGTTTCTATCCGGCTTCATCTGCATGAAATTATAAAAACTTTATTAGCGTGAAAATATATTGCCTAAAGCGTGTCGTAAGTGTAGGGCTTTTTATAAAAGAAAGAATTAATCAACAACATGCTGTGATTGCTGACTTCCTATGCGACGAAATAGTGTGCTTTATTATATTTGTATAGATTATCGTGGTTCATAAGTCAGTCCCATCTTAATCATGTCACCTTTTACGTAACCTTTTATTCGTAGTTATGTTGTTATTCTGTGACATATACTATAGAAATTTTTAAGACAACTTTCCTGATTCTGAAAGAAAAATTTACTAATGTCAGAAAGCTTTTAAAACTTTTCGTTGATAAATCGCGCTGCGGTCGATGTGACACCGGCGCAAGGCATTTTACGATTTACATTCCACGACATGTACAATGTTATACAAGATATTTTTAATTGACAATTTACGTTTATTATTAACTTGCTGATTTATTACGCAAAATAATGACAATAGTTAAATATTTTAAATAGTGTTTTGTTTATCTTTTGAAACTATTAGGGGCAAAATTTTATATATGCGCCTAAAATGTACGCAGTGTATAAAACGTCTAACAATGTAACATCCATGCATCCCACCAAAGCCACTTTCCTTGTACAGACAGGGTGGAAAGGTGAAAATGATTATAATTAGGCCGTATGAGTGTTATGTCATATACCTGTTCCCGTGCGGCTTCATCCGCATGCAATTACGAAAATTTTATTTCATTGTTTACATCTGTCAAATTATCAATAGCAAATGTCAAAATGACATCACATGACAAACCTTGGCAATCTTGTTTCCTTGATGTTGGCAGCAATGGTCTCTTTCCTACATTAGGGTATTTACCAAAAATATTTACTCCCTAAGTTTAATGACGTGCAATACATAGCCTAAAGCGTGACGTTAGTGTCGGGCTTTTTATTAAAAAAATAATTATTCAAAAATATCCTGTAGTTGCTGACATCTTAGGCAACGAAGAAATGTGTGTTTACGCTTTATTATATTAGTGTAGATAAACAGGCATACTTTTTTTTGCAAAAGAATATAGAAATAATCAACCTTGACTACGATGATATAAAAATGTAGACAATGTTGGATAATATAGTAGATAAAAATATGTGTAAATACCGATAAGCAGTAACAATAAATTCCTTTTTTGTTGTATATAATTTTTGTTTAATTAACGAGTTTTATAGCCCTGGAACATTTAACATATGCTTCAAATAAAGTTTATTCAGGTATATGTAATATTTAAATATTGATATTATCTCCTTAATTAACAATCATAATTTACTTTTTCTTATTAAATGTACATAATTAATTAAAGTATAAGATAAGTCGTCTCCATAATCCCTTTACATCTCAGTACCAAGGAGTCTGTAAGAGGATCTCAGTGAAAGTGGAGCTTTATTATAATAGCATTTACTTAAGCCTACGGATCTTCTT